TTCTCCTCGTCAGGAGTTTCTTTTATTGTTGAAGAAATGGAATAAACACTTAGGTTAACTATGCCTTCATTGACAAGAAAGAAACTTAAACAAGCTAGATTTTCGTCTGCTTGGTAAAACTTTTCATTGTTAGTTTTTGTAAAGGTATTGCTTTTTAACTAAACAGTTACTTATTTCCTAATTTGCTTCTAAATACGAAAATAAAGCATTTCAAAATCATTAATTAAACCCAATGGCTTTGTGATGTAGGGGTCAGCATGGGAGCTGTTACCACTTTATCTTTAAGCGGATTAAAAAACGAATTATTTTCTTAAGTTGAAATGGTACCCTAGAATATTGCGATGTTAATGAAAACTTGCCAAAACTTAAGCATTTCGAATCTAACTTACCAAAGTTCCCTCATAAGAGTGTGAAATTTAAGGAAAGTAGTTTTTAAGCACTTTTGTCTAGCAACGAACAAAGCAACTGCTGTTTAAAGTACTAAAGTCAGCGCCAATTTTACATCAGTCAGTTTAACATATAAGAGCGAAACTTTGTGGAAACGTTTTAAAGAAATTCACCAATCGATTGGTTTAATTACTTGTGAAAAGCTTCATTTCCTGAGTAACCGTCACAGACTCAGTCATTGCCATTATGAAAAAGGAATATCGATTTGGCAGAAAATTAATGGCGGCAAGTTATTGAAAGTCCTGGCGGCAGATGTAGAGACCGTATTTACTCGATTAAACGCCGCGGCGGTGATTAAATATTTCAGGATTTGAGTGTGGCGTTTATTCGAGGGCGGCGTTTATTTAAAATCCAAATTATTTCATGTAAACAATAGTCTGCTAAGAGCATTGAAAGAGCATTGAAGCATACTCACTTCGAACTGACAACATTGTTATCAATAAAACCAAATTTCCAAACCGTGTTTGAATTGAACTAGCGCATATTGTTATCCTGTTTTGAATGTATTCCTTTGAGCTTAGAAGGTAGTAGTCAATAACGCTGATAGGGGCCGTAACCAATCAGCGTGCAGGGATTATACCACGTGACCAGGGTTT